GAGAGATCTAGCTGAAGATATTTGCCTAGAGCAAGGGTTCAGTTTGGTTTAGCAGTAGAAGTCAGAGTCTTCCACATCCATCTTTTGAAAAGATTTTTTAAAACATCTTTTAACATCTTAAACATCTGGTGAAACCCCGTCTCTACTAAAAATACAAAAAATTAGCTGTGTGTGGTGGCACGTTCCTGTAATCCCAGCTTCTCAGGAGGCTGAGGCAGGAGAAGTGCCTGAACCCAGGAGGCGGAGGTTGCGGTGAGCGTGCCATTGCACTCCAGCCTGGGTAACAAGAGCAAAACTCCATCTCAAAACAAAACAAAACAAAAAAAAACATCTTTTAACATCAACCATCTTGTTGATCTTGCTTTAAATGGCTTGTTACTTTTAAAAGATGTTTTTTAGAATGTACATATTCTAGTATTAGTCAAATGAAAGCTAGAATATGCATATTATCAAGATACAAAGTATATTTCAGAGAAAGACTACTACCAAGGTTATTTCTTATTCAAAATGAATTGATTTATCAAAAACTCATAAAACTCTTGAGCATTTATATCTCAGTGCTTCAACACACATGTAGCAAAACTGATAGACCTCAGGGAGAAACAGACAAGTCCATAATTATTGTAAGAAATTTCAACACTTCTATCTCAAAAATTGATAGAAAGTAGGGACACAGTACAGTGAGAATTATCAGGGCAAATACAATTTTTTAAAAAGAGGTTTAATTCTCCCTGTTGAAATTATGGGAAGAGATTTCTTGCCTCCTCTCTTTTCAAGGCACATTTAAGCTAGTAAACTTATAATTTTAAGTTATTTTCCTGTCTCTTTGAAATGTATGTAAATATTTTTAAAAGCTAAATAAGCTTGTTGACAGAGACTCTGGCTTCCGCTGTGAGACCACACTAAGCTCCTGTGCTGGGCAAATGTCTTCAGCTAGATCTCTTCCTGCTGGGAGGTAATATTTTGACAACCCTGGAATGTCTTTCTCAGGGACCTGAGAAGTATCTTTTAAAATGTAATAATCAGGAAGACAGGGTCCCTATCTCTCAGTTTCTGAGGAGGCTTAGGAGTTTACCCTAGGCACTCAACTCACCCAAAGTTGAAAAACCACATCTTATCATAAAGATATGAATTATTTTTTCTTTTGGATAAAGCCAAATAGCTGAATTTAGATTCAACTATGTGTGGCAAATAATGTCAAGTCTTACACGAGGCTTACTTATTGTTTATTACGAGAACATGTATGTCATAGGTTGAATAAACTTTAGTTCTTTAGTTATTGGTCATGTGTCAATATTAGCTTAATAATTGTGGCAAGTGTACTGTATTCTAACGTAAGGTGTTAATAATAGAAGCGAGTATGAGATATATAAAAACTCTCTGCAGTAATTTGCAATTTTTCTATAAATTTACAACTGTTTTAAAATTGTTTATTTTTAAAAAAGCTAAACATGAACCTCTCATATGATATAAGCATTCTACTCCTAGATAAACCAACCAAGATAAATGAAAGCATATATGTATGCAAAAATGTTATATACATTTCAGTAGCTTTATTTGAGATAGCTAGAAACTAAAGATTATACACATCTCCATCAAGAGGTAACTAGATAAACAAAGTAAGGTCTACCTGAGACAGCCAAGTAGAAAGGGCTCCGTGGAGAATCTCCAACTGGCCAGGGCATTGCAGAGATGGAGTGGAGCCTTGAGAAGTTTATGTTGTTTGCACGGGGGAGGTCCTGGCCCCTCTTGATCTTGTGTGGTAATGTGGGATTCAATCTGTGATGTGATATGGGGGTCTGTTAACAGGAACCCTCACTATGCTGTGCTGTTTTTCCTTTTTTCTTTCTGTGCAGTAAATTTCATAAGCCCATTACCCTTCAAAGTGTCTGAGAGCCTAATCTTTCCTGTTCATGTGTGAAGAACCTAATTTTTAGGTGAACTAAGAAGAAAGTCCTGCAACATTTTTGGTACCCAACTTGGGGCTTGAGAAAGGGTGAATATGATGCAAAACAAAAAAAAAATTTCCTTTTCTTTCACTTCTAAGCATCCTTTCCTTTAAGCTTCTGAGCATAGATGAAACTGTGCCCCAACCCCTGTTGCTCCTGGGATTGGGAATGTTGGCCTCAGTCCAACCCAGCCTTTCCATGGCCTTTTCCTTTCTTTATAGCATGGATGACCAAGCAAGCAGCGGTTTCCTGCTACCTTCCCTTCCCTAGCAGGGCTAGGATGCATGACCCAAGGGCCCCAGGTGGCTGGCTGGTGTTCTCCACCTCTCATGTTGGAGTCTTCTCCTCCTCAGCCAGGGAATCCACCTCCATCCCACAGTAGAAAAAAATGTCTCTCCCTGGTGGAGAAACAATTTACATAAGAATAAGAGTTTCTTCCCCCAGGCATCCTTTTATCTTCTCTACGTTGTCAGCAGTTAACCTTGAAAGGAAGATTTTTCCTTTTAGGAGATACTGTTTATCTTTTCTGATTTGTGACATTGATCTTAAAGTGTAGCCAATCTGATGTGCTTTGTGTGTCTTTCTGTATGGTCCATAGCAAACTTTGCTGCAGGCCTCCATGTTCTTTTACGTCCTTGGGTGCAAGACCTATAACCATGTGGCAATATTTTGTTCTTGCCTCTGCCATTTTACAATAGTGGCCTGGGATCCTAGCTTAGGGAATGAGTTCTTTTTGTTTTATTTATTTATTTATTTATTTATTTTTCTTGGATCTTGTTTTACTGTAAAAAGGTTTTCCTCATTTGACTGAATTATTATTATTTTTTTATTTTGCCTTGCCACTTTTAATGCATGCATGAGAGGGTAGAGACCTCTATTTTCCTCATGGAACCCCATAAATTAAAAGCACCAAAGGCTAATAATGCAAATAGTAGATGAGTAAATGTAAGTTCTTATGGGGACTGGGTTTTCTTCTGCCTATTTAGTTAATATGTGTGTGATAGCTATAAAAAGAGCTCTAATTAATTGGCTTAAAGGAAGATAAACACTTTGATCAAATATTTTTTTAAAGAGAAGATAAAGGCTGTGATACCTCTCAGTTCATGTGACTTTAATCTTTGAGAAATAAAAACAGCCTTAAGGATTATTGGTAAATGCTGATGTCAAAATATAAATAGGTGGACTAGATTATGTAGGTCAGATACTAGATTAGCTCTATGTTTTAATGTTCTAAACTTCTTTTTGTGTTTTGAGAACTGTTCATCTTGGTAAGGCCTGGGAACACATGGAACTAACCATACCCTTAATTATGTTGGAAGGAGTCAAACCTTGGCTGCACCTAGCACATAATTAAAACAACTTACCAGGTTTTACATTAAGTTAAAAATTGAAAGGTGTTACCATTACAATACGTAATTGAGAGTATATGAAAGGGTTGTAAGAACAGTAAAATGTGTTTTTAGTAAAAGATTGTAAGAAGGCATATAAATGTAAATTATTGCCTACGGTTAAAGGATTGTTTTAAATTAGGTAAGCTAATGCTAAAAGTTCAAACAAGTGGTGGAAGGATTATAAGAATTAATCTTGTAAAACTTCTGTGTGTAAACATATTTACTACATTCTCTGTGTGAACATATTAATTAAATTCAAAAGGGTTTTATGTGGGTTTTTTCTGTAAATTGAGCATAAAAGTAAAAAGCACAGCAAGGTACTCTTAATGCACTATTCTTTAGCAAAATTTGTAAAGGGTTATTAAAGGTTTTTGTTTTTTTTTTAAGTTTCTGAGTCATCATTTTGGCAAAATAAGTAACTTATGAAAATCTGGAATTCTATTTCATAACAAGTGTTTTAAACCTCTAACATATTTAATAGGCTTCTCAAAATTAAACTTCAGTTTCAAAATTGTTTTTCCTGACACGTGTTATTTCAGATGCTTCAGAAAGGCCCCTGGAGTATCCAGAAAATAGAGGTAAACAGGATTATTTGACATGTTTAGGTACATGAGATTGCCAAAATGGTGTTCAATCTTCTTTAGTCTATATCTTGGTGAATAATAGTAATATATGTTCCAAAATTATATGGAATTTCTAAAATTCTAATGTCTAAGCTATATGCTATCAATTGTAATTAAGGTGGTTATGTTACATTATTGTAAACACAGAAATAACCAAACTTGTTTGTCAATTGTGTTTCTAACTGTAACTGCCCTGGAAATTTTGTTATTAACAGACAATTATTGTCTGTTTAATGCTTTTCAAAAGATGGTTTATAATAAGCTATAGAACATTGACAGGTGCTCTCAAATACAGGTTTCTGATAACTTTGGAGGTTATGATATTGGAATAAAGGAAAAATGTACAGGACTCATGAAGAGATGAAATGTTCATGAATATCAAGCAAAACAAGAGCTAACTGACTGAACACAGAAAGCTGAAGCAATCTTTTTGACTTTTGCTTGAAATATTCCTTATCATTGTTTTGTTCTTCAGAGTCAATAAAACTTATTTTTACTATTTACAGCATTTAATAATTCAGTTAGATATACTCCTGTGAACAAAATTTGGAGCATGTTTGTTTCTTTCTGCCAGGTTCCTCTAGACTTTGAAAATTATCTGTGAGTATTCTTAACTCATGGCAATATAGCTGTTTGCATCAGTGCAATAAGAGTCCATTTTCTTTTGCAACAGAACACAATTGGAGAAATCTGTTGTTTTACCAGAGCTTTGAGTGGAAGAGTACACTTCCCTTTAGGAGTCAAGCTTGACTTGCAGAGCTGATATAAAGCCCCATGGGGAAACTGGTCTCATACCCTCATCTACACAGTCCCTGTACAGAGTTCCTGACCTGTGGTCAGTAAAGAATGTTACTTTCTAACAGGCCCAAGAGCTCCAAATCTATCTTGCAATCTAAGAGGAGAGGATCACCCAACTCACAAATATTTGAAAATAGAAATGCATGGATGGGCTTGACTTTAAAATATCTTATCTAAGATTCCTTGTAGAACAGATTTCCATCAAAGTCAATTGACAAGGCCTATGTAGAGATAGTTATTCTTGCTGCACTTTTTGTAAATAATCAGGCCAAGTATAAGACTAAAGTCTATTTTGCAAACAACTCAGTCCTATCATGATTTGTCTTTTAATAAAAGAGAGAGAAAGAAATGGAGAGAAATTATGTTTCAAAACTTAGATATTTGTCATTAAATTCTAAATTCATTGGTTGTTTTTACATTTTTGACTACATTTTTAGATGAACCCTACTTGTTCCTGTGAAGCAACCAGCAATCTCTGGTTGCAGCTCAGAGGAACAAAATAGATGGATAATGTAGAAATATGGATCAATATTCTAGTTTTGAGCAATTATCCTGCAAATCCTACCAGATAAAGGGAATAAGTTGGGTCCCCATCACCTGTAGGTTCTCTTTTTGGGAAAGTGAGACCAAGGGAGCTAACCAAAGCCCAAGCACCATGCACCCAAATCCTAGCAAACATAACTATAGCTACCAGTTATCTGGTTGGGCATGTCACAAGACATCCTTTTCTCTCCCTTGGTGGAGGTGGACTCGATTCCTCAGCTTCACCTTACCATTTGGCTTATGCTAAGGAGTCCATGCAACCCCTAACCTGAGACATATTTTTGTCCCAAACTCAGTTTTAAGGTTCAGGTCAAAGCTAAGGAAAAATGGATCTGAGGGATCCAGAGACAGACCATAATGAAAATTAAGAGGCACAGTGCAGGTGAGTGTGGCTGTTTCCTGCCCATTAAGCCACACTTTCTATTTTATGGCTTCATGGATAAAGGTCAATCTAGAATCCTAGGCATAAATGAGGTCTAGGCAACTGAAGGCTACTGACAGCAGGAGAGATAGGGCATAAGTGTGTGAAAGTGGATACTCCCGCCCCCAGGCCTTCCTGTTAACATGGATGAAAGCTGCTTTAACACCCATGAGTGGCACCCTGTAGTGATTGTCCAGAGTTGGGGATACAAGGAGAGAGGAAAGAAAAATGAATGCCTTACTCTCCCTCCCTCATGTACCTTAGGTATTTGCCAGAAAGAGAAAGAAGCCAGGGATGCCTGCTCCCTCTTTCTAATCGTATTGGTCTTCAGTCTGGACCCCTATCAAATGCATCCTGAACCCTGGGACTCCTTTGAAAAAAAAGTCTTTTTTTTTTTTCCTTTCTCCTCTTCACTGACAGGTAATTGTGTTTCCATACTATAAGACACTCCCCTCAGATGCATCATCCAAACTGAGAATAGTTAATTTCCCAAACCTTAAACTGGTTGGCTTAGGATGGGGCTCAGGGGAAGGGAACCCAGAAGCCCAAGATGCCAGCAAAAGGGTAAAAGGTATTTTATTTTTTTTTTCCAGTTGGGCCTTTGGTCTCCTTCTCCCTGTGCAAACGGGTAAAAAGCCTTTGGATTTTTGAGCCGTTCTTACCCTACCCCTGCTCTTGTTTCATTTTGATACATGTTTTCTAATAATCCAGTTTGTCTCATCTCACCTTCAGGCCATCAGGCTCAAAATGGTCATGCAATTGGAGCCTCAGACAATGATCCCTTCTTCTGAGAACCCTTAGATAGGGCTTTGGGGGAGATCTGACTGCTGTTTTCCCCAAAACAGCGCCCCCTGTCAGCAGTAAGCAGTTAAGATTGATCTTTAGCCCTATCCTTATCCTTGGTCTAATGGCAGTTGGATGTATTTCTTTAGAGGAGGAAATGAGACAGCCAAGCAAAAGGGGCTCTCTGGAGAATCTTCAGCTGGTCTGCAAACTGCGAGGATGAGGTAGAGCCTAGGGAAGTTTATGCCATTTGCAGACAGGAGGAGCCTGGCCTCTCCTGATCCTGTTTAGTAACCTGGGATTCTATCTGTGAGATGGGGGCCTGTTAACAGGAACCACTTTCTTTTTTCTGTGTTGTTTTTCCTTTTTGCCCACTAAATTATGTAACCCCTTCACCCTTCAAAGGGTCTGTAGCCTAATCTTTCCTAGTCGTGTGATAAGAACTTCGTTTTTAGCTGAACTAAGGAGGAAGTCCTGCAATATATTGATAAAATGAAATGAAAATCAGCCACACAAAGGAATAAGCTAGTGTTACATAAAACAGTATGAATAAAACGCAAAATAATTGTGCTGAGTAAGATTATTTAGCCAAAACCTATTATACTGTCTGATTCTATTTTGGAGAAAACTTGGAAAATGCAAAATAATCTCTAGTGACACAGCAGATTAGTAGATATCAGACAATTTTTGATAGGGGTAGAAAGAAGGGGAACAGATTACAAAAGAGCACATGGAAATTTTATAAGTGATGAGTATGTTGTTCCTAATAATGATTTCACAGGTATATAGATTATATCAAACCTCATCAAACTATAACTGTTAAATACATAAAATTCATCGTATGTCAATTTTAATGAGCCTACAAAAGTGAAACAAAGGAATGGATAAAATTGAAAATCAAGAATGAAAAGACAAAGGTATAATAAGTGATAACTTTAACTCAACTACTAATTGCTTATAATACAGCTTCATTCTCCCCAAATTTTTACTTCATATATGTTATTTGGCCTAGATTGAATAAACAAATTTTGCCGAGATGTTTGGACCCACGCTTTAATTGGAATGACTACATGAAGGAATGGGCTTCCCCAAATGTTTTTGAAATAATTATGAATAACATTTTTCTGTTCAATAAATACAATTATATCTTTCCCAGGAACTTTAATTTAAAGTAGATTAGCATTCATAATCTAGCTGAAACCATTACAGGACTTATTTCTTCACTAAGACATTTTATTTTTCTATTAAGATGCAAATATGTTATTTGGGAAAATAAGCCCATTAAATCACTAGTAACCACTAGAGATGTGGTTTAATTAGCTCAATAGTTTCTCTCTATGAGGCTCAGTTGATGGTATCAGGGTGGGTTACTCCTCAGGACAAAAAGTAATCGACTTCATAAAATAAGATGGCTCCAAGCCTCTGGATAAACAGCTAGATGGAAAGCATTAGGGAACCTGATTACTGGTAAAATGGAACACAAGCGTGGCAGCTTACCATCTGAGAAGCTGAATACACAAGAGGTGAGGTGTGGTGAAAGAAAAGCAACTTTATCAAATGCCAGAGTTGAGGAGATGCTCAGGGTAAATCCTCCAAGAAACCATCTCAAATTTTAGGCTAAGTGAGGGGGTATAAGGAAGAAAACCTCCAATGGAAATGTAGGAGTGGGGCAGGGCACAGGTTCTGTGTGTCCTGTTCTGATGGCTGTGTCGAGTTATTGTTAACCTGGAATCAGACAGGTGCCATCTTAACAATGGCTGGGTTACAGATGAACCATCTTAAGGTTATCCCTAGATGGGTAAGAATTCTGCAGCTGAGTCTCCAGGCCTGGTTTATTTCAGGATTAGCCCCTGCTATCCTAAGCAATCTCTAAGCAAGCATATATTTAGTTACGTTAGCACAGTACAAGAGAGTGTCTAGTGGGAAGGGAGGGAAACAAGGAGTTTCAAAGTACATTTCGAAGCTAAAACGGTAGACAAGAATAAAAGTTTTAAAATGCATTCTGAAGCTAGGCTCATTGGTAACACCAGGAAGGAGCAAAAAAAAAAAAAAAAAATGAGGAATTAGTCATAATCCTAACTAAAGCTTACTTGTCCTTGGTCTGAAATTGCTTTTGCTATTTAGACCTATAGGCATATTTAGACATAGAAGTATTTTCATTCTTAGTCCTTTTAAAGTATTTTTTGAGATGGAGTCTCATCCTATTGCCAAGCTGGAGTGCAGTGGCTCAATCTCGGCTCATTGCAACCTTTGCCTCCCAGGTTCAAGCGATTCTCCTGCCTCAGCCTCCTGAGTAGCTGGGACTACAGGTGCATGCTACCACGCTCAGCTAATTTTCGTATTATTAGTAGAGATGGGGTTTCACCATGTTGGCCAGGATGGTCTCTATTTCTTGTCCTTGTGATCTGCTCGCCTCGGCCTCCCAAAGTTCTTGGATTCCAGAGATAAGCCACCGCATTGAGCCAAAGTGTACATTTTTTTTAAAGTATGGAATATTTGGCCATCTAAAAGCATATTGGTTATATCAAATCTGCAAAGTTTACATAAGTGACATTCATTTTTGGTCTTCTACTATGAATACAAATGGTCTTGTCAAACTGGAGAGCAGGAAATATTCTGGCAATTTTATCTTATGCAGCTAACAAAATCTTACAACATTTTAGATAATATCATCAATCATTCAGTCAAAATATTTATGGAATCCTTACTAAGCCCCAAGACTAGGTTAATCATGAAGGGACAAATTTATAAGTCATATGGATTAGTTTTCTACCCTTGTTTTATTTGAAGGTGTACAATATTTGAAGGTGTGTAATGAAATTTTTATTACACAGATATGTTACAGATATATATTACACAGATATATTTTTAATGTTGTTTTGTGAGTAGGCCTAAATCACATGTTAGGCCTGCTCACCAAACAACATTAAAAATATATCTGTCATTGATGTATAAGATATGTTATGGACTATTTTATTTTATATATTAAACTAACATATTTGGTAGAGGAAAATATAGTTTCTGACCACCAGGTCTACAAAAAGTGACAGAAGCAGTGGGGAATTAAACCTCTAGCAAGGTCTGGCCCAGTGGCTCACACCTGTAATCCCAGCACTTTGGAAGGCTGAAGTGGGTGGATTGCCTGAGCTCAGGAGTTCGAGACCAGCTTGGGCAACATGGTGAAATCCCCGTCTCTACTAAAATACAAAAAGTTAGCCAGGCCTGGAGGCGTGTGCCTGTATTCCCAGCTACTTGAGAGGCTGAGGCAGGATAATTGCAAGAACCTGGGAGGTGGAGGTTGCAGTGAGCCGACATCACGCCACTGCACTGTAGCCTGGGCCACAGCGAGACTCCATCTCAAAATAAAAACAAAAAACAAAAAAAAAAACCTCTAGCAAAGTAAATAGTGATTCCTAAAGGTAAAGATAATTGGATAATTGGTCCTAGTTTAGTTTTTCTACATTGTCCTTCTGCTCTTAACTCTGGAATGGGAAATTGTGTTCTGAAAAGCTTAAAAAATAAGTTTGTGAGGAGTGATTTGCATCTCATTGGTGACCAGCACATGACTCTCTTG